AGGAATGAGTTGCACTGAGCCATTCGTACTACTTCATAATTTAACTGTTCATTTCTTGTATTATATATCTATCTATCTGTATATAATTTAACAGTTCATTTCTTGTGGTATATATCTATCTTTATAAATAAATATATAAAATTATCAGCAATCTGGTTTTATCTCTCTAGAGAACCCTGTCTAACACATCTATCATCATGTTCATAACACTAAGATTATAGAAACATACAAATGTGTAGTATTTGTTATATATTTGTCTTCTTTAGAGTTGAATATTTGGTACTAGAAGATTATTTTTTGTTCTACAAATACAACTAGTGTAAGAATTTCTCTATAGTACATATATTCTTTGAAATTTTACATTTACTCGCTTCTGTGTGAACTTCCTTACTTGAGTAAGTGTTAGAGTGGTCCCATTAAAAGAAACCCTCAATGGCCTGCAGCAGTTGCCAGATGTTACCTAAAGATTAACGTAGGTGTTTATACAGGCACGAGGAGACCCAAGAAGCAATGTTACTTGAACGGAGTTGAAGTTCTTTAATGAATAAAACTATTCATACCTATTGGGACTTGAGAAAAAAATATTTTATGACGCACTGGAAAACTTTTTTTTTAACTAGGTGTTAAATAAAGATGCTAGTCAAGGATATAATGTTTGCCAGTTATATTCCAAATACCTTAACAGTCAGTTTATATTTAACCATGGTAACAAACATAGCGGTATAATAAGTTGTGAGGTTGCCACTGTCAGCCTAAAAATAGGTAGCTGTAGCACCTCTGAAAGACCCAGTAGTGTCTGAAACAGTGTTAGCCTTCTGTGTTTAAAGTTCTCCTCAGAATGACATTTATAAACATTCTTTAGCAGAGTTACTTAGAAGCTAAATTATTCTTTGCCCAATGATCCGTAGAGTTATTCAAATGAAAGCTGTTAATTAAACATCAAGGACTGATTCAGAAAACAGAAAATGCTGGAGAAAGGTTTTATTTTGTCTTTTCTCAAAAACATGCGTTACTGTTGAATTGATTTTGATTCACGGCAACGCCACGTGTGTTAGTATAGAACTGTACGCCATAAAGCTTTCCAGGCTTTAACTGTTCAGAAAGATCACCAAGCCTTTCTTTTGAGATAGCTCAGAGTGGGTTCAAACCACCAACCTCTTGGTTAGTAGATTAGTGCTTTCCCGTGTACATCACCCAGGGACTCTGGAGAAAGGTATATAACCTAAAATTCTTTCTATTCAAACTTTTGACCAAAATAAGTATCCTTATTAAGACGTATGTTAGTGGGGTCATATCAAAGTAAGACCTCGCTAGTTTGCTTTGTTTTGGGTGTCATGTTCCACCCGCCCTCCCCATGGGGTTAGAATTCCATAAGATAAAGAGTTCTGGTTCCACATTGCTTCATCACTCTAAACAAGCAGAAGTATAGAAAGAGCTGCTGCTTGCTGCCTGTGCCCGGATAGCCTGAATTGCTCTACAGAGGACTACCTGGCAGCCCTCAAGACTTGAAGGACTGCCAGTGTCTCACAACTGTCTCACACGAGTGAGTTGCACTGAGCCATTTGTACTGCTTTATAATTTAACTAACTGTTATCTATCTGTATAAATATATAAATAATTATTAAAAAAAAAAAAGAAGTATAGAAAGAGCAAGTTAGTAAGGTAGCCTTATTCAATTTAATATTTCTAAAACTTTGAGAAATCACTTGAGATCTTTCGTTTGCCCATCTCAAAATGAGAAGCAGCAGTATATATTTAAATTACTGCTTGCTTGCTCACAGTGGCACTTGAGTATGAGTTCTTATGATACGGCCCTGTTCGATACATGCCTTCATGAAGGAAACAGAAGTTACAGGTGCTATAGAAAAGTGTGGTGAAGAAACCAGATGGTGCCAGCAATTAGAATAGTGTCTGGGGCTTAAAGGCTTATTTCCAAACGAGCAACCATCTATGTAAGAGGTCAAATAAGTCCACATGGAAGAAGCACACCAACATCCGTGTCTCAAGGATTATAAATTATATAATCCAAATATGAAAGAGAGAATATTAGAGCTTAAATTGTGAGATTCGGGTTTGCAAAACGCTATGGATGACAGTACAGTGGTATGTATGACATACGGGAATCTGCATAGAGTGTTACATTTGGAGTGGGGGAAGATATGGATAAGAAGGATAGGGTGGTTTGTATTGAAAGAAATCATGAAGGGTTTTTGAGACCTTGCAGTACTCTTTTTTGAGTCCTGATTTGTACATATGATGTTTGTAAAAACTCATCAAAATGAACAACTATATATAATTATCTAACTATATTTTTATTAAAATTACATATATACACGTATCTATACATATTTGTGCATACATGCATACCAGACAGTGCTTAGTTCTGTTGTACATAGGTCATTGCAAGTCAGAACCAACTCAGCAGCATGCAACAACACACACACACACACACACACAACTGAACAACTCACTGCCATCAAGTCAATGCTGACCCACAGGGACCCCCATGTGGGTTTCCAAGACTGTACCTATTTAAAGAAATAGAAAGTCCTGTCTTTCTCCCTTGCACCTGCTGGTGGTTTTGAACTGCCAACCATGCAAATACAGTGAACCCTCGCCATTTCGTGCTTCGACTTCCGCGGCTTCACTCTATCACAGTTTTTGCGTAACAGCACCCACTGCCTACACCCGCTCCTTCAGAGGAAAAAGACGGCGACCCACCTGTAGAGTACATCCCTTAAGTCATTTCATAGGCTATTGATTACAGTATTTGTAAGAACTATGTATAATAATACTGTATGTGAAATATGTAATACTGTAAACTAGATGCCATAAATAATATAATAAATAACAAATGATAATTGTAACATCCAAAATGTTTTACTGTATTTTCCCTTTTTCATTTAATAAATTGGGTAATACGAGTGTAATGGTGACTAAAGGGTGTTTTTTCATGTCCTCTATGCTCTAACTACGAAAATATTTGATTTACAAATAAGGAATCCTACTTCGCAGAATTTCATTTATCACGGTAGGGCCTAGAACCGATTAACAGCGATAAACGAGGGTTCACTATATATACATACAGACACACATATATCCAGACATTAGTCAGGTCCCCTTTCTTTTGAGAGTAGAATTCAGTTCAACCCAGCTTCATCAGAGTATATTCTATACTCACTTGCCATACAGTCATTCTGACTCAAAGGGATCCTTTAGGGCAGAGTAGAACTCCCTCTTTGGGTTTGTAAGACTTTAACTCTTTACAAGAATAGAAAGCCTCATCAGCAGAGTAGTGGAAATATACTGCTGACGTGGCTAAACTACTAAAAAATCAGGAGTAAAGCAAATCTCAGGGAGGATGAATCCAGTATTTACCATGCTGGCCTGTTTTGCTTTCCCCCATTCATACCCCTCTCTGGTGCTCTTATTGTCTTCTTTGTCCACAGCTTTCTCCACACTGTGGTAACACACCTAGAGGCTGTTCCAGATCAGCTCCGATTTTAGAAAGTTTGTAGGCAGCCAGTGTAGGTCATATGGATATACCTAGACTAATCACTGTGGCCAGGAAGGCTGCCTAAGTCACACACCCACTTCTTTGATCAAATGGAAGAATTATGGGCATCACAGATATGGTCATTAGGAAAGTTGGTGGGAACTGGAAATCTCTATTTCATGTAGGTTATGCTATAAGATCCATATTTTTATGAATGTTTATCAAACAATTCATAAATCGCTATTAAAAATTTACATAAACTACGTTCACTGTGTAAACAGAACGGGAGTGCAATATTTCAAATTCTCCTATCCCAAGCCAACTAAGTTAACCCAGTATGCTCTTAAATGCTCTTCAGTCAAGATTGAAACGTTTAACATAAAAAGTCAAATATAGAAATGTTAGTAAATTACTAACATTCATGAAGTAAAAATACAAAAGATCAATTTTTTAAAATCTTTATAAAAAATCTATAGCTAAGCAGACTGGTTTTTAAGTTAACTGTAAATTAAAAACAAAAAGAGTGACACTAATGTAGGGCCATAAAGTAATGGAATGATAATCATCAATACTTCCAATGAAGTACTTTGTATATGAAAAGTGAGGTTGTATATACTTGTGATGTATTCTACTCAGAAAACAAATTATACATCAAAAGACCAACTGAATTCTTAGGTTTGTCTAATTTTTAGAATGTTCTAATTACCACTTATATCCAATTCAACTAAATTTTAAAATTACTTGGCTTTCCCTCATATAGAAAGCCTTAAAATGTAATTATTTTATTAAAAGAGATCTCAAAAACAAGTCATCAAAATGTTTTAAAATGTGAAAGAAACAGCTCACTGCAGATACTAAAAATCTAAGATACTACATATAAAAAAAAAATTTTAGAGAATGTAACCCTCACTCTAAAAAATTTTACTTTGTTTTCAAAAAAAGGATTTATTCTTACGGACTTACAAAGGAAGATATTACATTGATGCAGTTTATCTTGTAATGTTTAAGAAAATACAACTAATAAAGAATTAAGAAAATCAACTCTAAAAAAATCAAAATAAACATTTTGATTCTCAGTTTGGAAAACAGAAACCAGTCCAAGGGTTTATTTTACTTGAAAATTTGAGTTGTTGAATTGCAACTTATAAGAAAAATATACTGTAGCTTCTCCTAACATAAAAATTACAAAATTGTAACAAAAATTAAAACAAAATAATGTGTAATAGTTTTACAAAATGCTAAGTATATTCATAATCTTGGATATTTGACTTATTTAAAACTGATAATAACTAATATGCCTGTAAGACTAAAATTACAGGCACATACTTTTTAATTTATTTAGAAGTAAAATATGCATAAGGAAAACCAAGATAATTTTTCTATTAAAAAACATCCTAAAGTCGATCTTTTAAATTATTATAGGTGTTATCTAATATAATTCCATAGTACACAAAAAATAATCATTTAATATCTTAAAAGTTAAAAGCTTTGACCATTAACTTACCTTTTTTTGATACCAGACTATAGCATCTGTGACTCTGGACGCCATTTATTCCACCGAAATCACACATTAGTCATTTTAGGCTGTGGGAGAGAGAAAAGCACACAAACGACTTTACTTGCACCTTCCAAAAGGAGACTGAACAACACACATACACAGAAAGTACTCTGCTTACTTGCAGAGCAAGGGATGTATGACTATACTTATATTACACCCTTCCTCATTACTATTTTAGCAACAGGTTCTCTTAAGTAAACAAAAATCAGTTGCCATAATAAAAGAAGGTTCTTTCTGCATGAATATAACCCTTGACTTTTTTTTCCAAACAGGTTAAAGTTGTTTTTTTAAAAATGTCTTTTTGTTTAATCATTTTATTGGGGCTCATACAACGCATCACAATCCATACATAAATCAATTGTGTAAAGCACATTTGTACATTCATTGCCCTCATCGTTCTCAAAACATTTGCTCTCCACTTAAGCCTTTGGCATTAGCTCATTTAAAAAATAAGTCTGTTAAATAAATTCCAGAACCTCCTAGTTTATACTGGAAGTGTTTCATAGATGAATTCATGTGTAAGAGAAATCCACCCACTGATAGATCAGTTTTTTCTATAGCTACTACATGGGGACAATTACTATCAATTACTAATGTTAAGGGATGATTTAACAAAGATACCTAAATTTAAAATCATATCAAGTTTTCTGATATTCATATATATAAATTGGGCTTCATATATCAAAAAACTGAAAAGCATGTAATATTAATTCAAGAGGATGACTCCCAATAACATATGGCAAATACACACCTGAGATAAACCCCAATATGAACAAACCAAAAAAATACAGAAAATGTTGAAAACCAGACCATCTCCAACATGGCATCAGAGGGAGGATCAGCTGTTTTAACTGTCCAAGTCAGGTTTATGTCTTTGCTCTTCTCTGCTCATCTCTCCAATGCAGTCTGTTCAGTAACCACTTTCCGCCCGCATCCCCTCTATTATGGATAGAGGGAGATCACCAAAGGCTTCCCATGTAGTGCCCACAGATGTATCTTGGGGCTACCACTGTCATTCATGGCCTTCTGCATACCCGATTCTCACAGTTTAGGTCTGATTACTATTCCCTCCATTGACTTTGGATTTATGATTTAGAATCCTTCTGACTGATGTTGATGTCCTTCATCTGTGTGGATCTAGTTAACATCTCATTTAGATGGCTGCTTGTTTGGAAACAAGCCTTAAAGACCCCAGATGCTATTTTATCTGATAGATGAGCACCATCTAATTTCTTCACCCCGTTTTGCTATAGAACCCATATCTTCCGTGATCCTTTCCAGAGGGCAAATATCAAGCAAGGCCATGATGTAAGAACTAATTGTTATTAGGCTAGAGCTAGGCTAGAATTAGAGTGAGCCCAAAACCCATTCCTGAATCTGTGTGTTTTTTTTATCTGACTTTGGCTCCTTTTCAAAGCCTCCATATTAGTTTTTTACAAAGAGTCTTATCCATCATCTCCTTGGGGCATAACGATCTTCCATTAATAGTCTTTGATTAGACACTGGTACTAAATTTTTAAAGCCCTGTTGAGAGAGGGCTATTGGCCAATGTACACTAACTCCAGATCACAGTACCTGAATTATTCACTTGTACAGGATGAATCCTTACATGGCTGGATGCTATTTACACAAACACTGGGAGTTGGTTGTAAAAGAAAACTTAAAATAATATCCACTGAGAATGTCAGTCACAGGTTGGCCAGAATAATACATACTGTATATACTTGAGTATAAGCCAACCCGAATATCAGCCGAGGCACTTAATTTTACCACAAAAACTGCATTAAAAATGTGCTGGAAAACTCATGCTTATACACGAGTATATACGGTACCTTCATCTAGCATATAGGGCCTTGATGTAGCAAGGCCATCCTTGTCCACCTAAAAACCGCTCAACAATCTTGGTACAGCTGTCTTCCACTTCCTTAGACACCACGCATTTTCCAACTTAAGTCCTCATGTTACAAGTGTGTCTGAAATAGACACACCTTCATTATTTGTTTGCCAAGTCAATTGGTAAATTTTCCTAATCATATTCCCTCCCCATCAAAAAATAAAATAATCAAAGCATTAAAAATGGTACAAATATATAAAAATATCTAGATTTTTCACTTTGTACTCCTGACTTATGAAAAGGGTTTTGTAACTTCTTTTGCACTTTGATTTCTCTATCTTTCAGTGAATGATGTTTATTGACACAAATTCTAGATTATCTACTAAAACAAAGGCCCTCTCTACTAACCTCCCCTGAGTACAATACACATTTAGTATACAAAAGGTGAAAGGATTTTTTATGCCCCCACTATATTACACATATGAACTGTTAGATAATATTTAGAGAATATTTAAATAGTCACAGTAATTTTAGAAAGAGGCTTTGATATATATGAGAAAAAGATTGCCTGCTTCAAAGTAAAATGAGATGTTTCCTCTATTCTTTGGCTTACCAACTACTGTACATTTAAAAACAACACCTACAATAGCAATCCAGTATATATAATGTTCTAAATGTCCTTAATTAGGTTTACTTGTTTAAAATAATAACCCCATCAGCAATGGCAGGATTTGCTCTGCAAACTCATTTACTAGTTTTTCCATTTTGTCAACAACCTTTCAGTGACACTGAGTGGCTCATACCTATTTTTAAAACAGGTTTGACAGCATGTTGAATCATCTGACAAAGCACACTCAAAGACATCCAAAATTCACATGAGTATAAGCAGCAAGAATATACTAATAATCTTTTATTATATATGAAATCCACTGTTCAGGATGATAAATTTATAGATTCTATGCTGATGATAGCCCACTGCTATTAAGTTGATTCTGACTCCTAATGTCCCTGTAGGACAGACTAGAACTGAGTTTGCAAGTCTGTAAATCTTTATGGAAGACTGCCACATCTTTCTCCCTCTGAATGGCTGGTGAACTGCCAACCTTCAAACAGCTGGGTGCTTTAATCTCTGTATAATCAGGGATTGTGTGGTCATGTTAAATCACTTTAATAACTTTATGGCTTTAAAGTTCCTTTACAGAAATAAATACCATCAAATTTTGGAACGATGGCAGCATAATCAAACCATCATTCTAACCTTTCTCCACAAATTCAGTAGGAAACAGAACCAGAAAACGGTGCTCATCTTTGAGACTGAAACAGGAAGCAGAGCAAAGCAGTAGGGAACTGCAGACAGGGGAGAATCAACAAATCAACGAGGAGTCACATGTGGTAGGAAAATCACTTTTCTCCATCCCTAACCAACACAGACCTTGCCAGTACAATAAGAGATGACTCCAAGTTTCTGCTGCCAAATCAAAAAGTCAAGCCTCTCCGGAGGGGGGGATGGTTCCACTTCACATGTGCCATCCAACTACCCTTACCTGGGCAGTGTCCATTTAAACCTACTGAGTGACCACAGAAGGCCAATGCAGGAGTGTATGCTCTCATAGTCAACACTCCGTACCTCCACATACCATATAACTGAGGCCTTAGAGCCTCAGAAGAGGCCTCCTAGGATGTTCTGTTGTGTGTGTGGTCCTCCTTTCAGTTGGTGCTGAGGGCTGCTGGCTGATGCTGTGTGCCAAGAAGTAGACATCTTTGGCAGGGGCTATACTGTACAGTCAGAATCAGCGACAATGAGAGCTATGAGACACTCTCAACCAACATACTACAGGGAGGGCTCTAATAGCAGCAATGTCGACCTCCCTTGAAGTTCATTTGGAGCTAAACAGTCCCTCCACCTGGACACTGTCAATTGCTACATAGAAGAACCTGGTCGTGAAATCTGCTCCCACAGTCAGCACTGAATCTGCCTTCCTGCTTATCCCTTAGCTCTGGCCTTTGAAACCAACAAGACAAAACATCCTGGGAGTCAATGCTGAATAGTCTGCCCCCACTTTCAGCTGGTGCTGAGGACTGCTGGCTGAGGCTTCTGTGTGTTAGGACTCCTCCGTCCCAAGTTGAAGCTGCACTCATAGCTGACAATCTCCCTGGAGGACACTGATAGAAACAAGGCCGACTTCCACAGGGATCTGACCAGAGTGACTCCCGGGAGCCCACTTGGTAATTACTGGTTGCCAGGTTGTTGCAAACTGTGGAAGCTCCCATAGGCTGCACGCATATGCCTCCCTGTAGCTCAGGTCTCTGACACAAACAGAGCAGCACTCCCTGGGAACCGATTGAGTTTGTCTGCCCCACCTCACAGCAGACACTGAGCACGGCCAAATGAGGCTGCTTTGCTGTGCACTAAGAAGCCGGCATTTTGAGAGGAGGCTACACCCACAGCCAACATACTATGGGGTAGGGTCTAATAGCAACCAGGCTGACCTGTTGGATCCACCATTCCAAGGGTGACTATCCCGTTACCAACAAGTACCTACCAGCAAACTTCTACAAAGGTTCCCTACAGTGGAGTCAGAAGATGATGGGTTCACCTAACAGATGGCTCCCCCAAGCACCAAGGACCACAGTCTATGAAACAAACCAAACAGACCTCTCGACGTGCTTCCTGAAATGGAGAACATCTACCTGTGCTTCCCCTGAATGCCAACTCTGATATAAACAGAGTAGACAAGTATTTCATGTGGACTATTTAACCTTCCAACCATAGTCTCGCTTTCTCTCTCCCCAAACGACCTGATGGATCTGGAAAGAGGCAAAAACAAAAATTTTAAAACTCACTGCCAGTTGAGTCAATGTAGCAACCCCCATACAGGTTTCCCAGACTGAAACCATTTACAGGGTTAGAAAGTCCACCCTTTCTCTACAGGAACTGCTCATGATTTCCAACTGTCCACTATGCCCAACACATAACCACTACACCACCAAGGAAGGCTCCTCTGGGTAGAAGACAGGGAATATATGAATAGGACTCAGTTGTAAGTGCTTGTTAAACAGGATTGTGATTGCCATCCTGCTGCATATAAACTGAGTCCTCTTTGAAGCCAGGGATCTCACTACTTAGCAAGAACCAGTGGAGGAATACATCCATTGGACCGAGATCCCTGAACTGTGAGCCTCCTTGATCCA